TCGAGGCAAGAGGGCGGCGGGCGATGACGAGGGTGAAGGAAACAGCTCAAGGTTCACTCTAGGTCTGGGCTTCGTGCTGGAATACAAGGTCGAAAATTTGGGCTGCAGATATGTCTGCTGACTTAGGCTCACCTCTTGAGTAGACTCCTTTCGATTTCGGAACGGTCACAGGGTCAGTCGTACTTGTAGATAATGCGGCATAAGCTTCTGCAGAGAATGTCTGGAAGCGGTGATAGGATCGCACCACACTGTAGGAAGTCATTTAGGGCAGGACTATTGGTGAGTATTTATCGGCTTTTGCATAGTGGTGCGTGTTTTGTGGGTTCTCATATGGAGAGACTACTAGTGAAGACGCCCAATTTCTTGTACCTGAATTGGTGTCTACCTGTGGGCATAGCAGCATGTGCGATAAAGCACACGCATGTGATTCCGTGTGCTTGTACTGTTGACCTGGGGGCCTTTTGTCCTCTTCCCTGTTGCCGGTCAGATGCTTATGACGGCATGCTCAGGCTCGTCCTCGAGCGGCTGAGTTCGAATGCTACAGCACTGCCCATCAATGCTTGCAGCACCCAGCCACAGGAATGGTACTGGCTTTGGACCTCCCCTCACCCCATCTCACCCCATCCTTCTATTTGGGTGTCGGCGTCATGCTTTGAGTTATTAGGGACCTGTGCGGTTTATATTTTTCAGGCGGGGGGGTCGGAGGCCGAACCGGCGAAGTTTGATGCTCCAGCCACACAGACGGTTCGAGCTTTCAAAGAACTGTCTCTGCAGATCGAAACAGCATGTCCTGGTGGCACCCTGCGTGCCAAGGCTCAGCCGAGCAGAGTGCATGGACAGCCAGACCTTGCAGAAGAGCCTAGGCAAATGCCCCAAACATCGACACAGTGCATCCCGGAAAGAAAGCTTGTCGGGAAGTTGCAGTCCGAATGGGCAGAGGACAAATCGGTTTCATGATCTGCTCCTGTGCCGTAAGATGGCCCCTGTGGCATCTGTGTACAGATCTTGCTACCGTCTTTTAAGGCGGACCTGGCTCAATCCCAACGTTGGAGCAGCCAAACCAGAGTTAGCGCTTGCCATGCTTCATTCCAAGACGCTGCATGCGAGCAATATTCAAGAGCTCGAGCCATGGCAAGCACATCTTATGTCCATATGGGTGCAATGTGTGCAAAGGCAAGGAAATGCGAATGCGCAGAGGTTCCAAGGGCGTCTCCTTGCCCGATCTCCACCCAGGCAGTTTCATTTCGCTGCTGCATTCTCTGCCGCGGATCCTTGACTTGAAGCCTTGTCTCTCCACGTGCCCAAAGGTAAACAACACACACACACATGCACACCCCTGCAACTCTAAACTCCTGATTGCGGTGCCTGAGCCAACGTTGTGTGCGACATGGAATGTACCTAACATGGGAGCTCAAAACGATTGAACCGCTGACAATTCCTTGCCTAGCTTGTCCTAGTGTCAAATATTACAGGGAAGGGAATTGCTTAAGACATCGTGGATCGGATCTTGGAACACCTCTTCCAAGCCTCGTACTCAGTTATTGTCCATCTCTCTATTTCTATCAAGCCAAGCATTGTACACATGCATATGTATGCGTGTAGAGTATTAGTCTGCATCTTTCTGTATTCCATACATGTTGCGCAATTTCGCGACATACGCATTGCAACAAACGCGCGTGTTTATATATATATATATATATAGGCCTGTCTACGCATCTATCTGTCTATCTATATATGTATATATACGTATATATGTATATATATATGTGTGTGTATAAATATATATATATATATATATTCATACTTTTTGCTGAGAGAAGAGAGATCTGTGTGCCTTCGAGGCAAGAGCTAGAAACCAGTCATCCAGAGACTTCTTGTACTTAGGTTAGACTGTTAGACGCTTTCAGGAATAGGATGGCAGCATCGAGGTTGGGTTCTTAGGCTCTGTTTCTTCTAAGATTTTGCGAAGCAGTCTCTCGCTACAGGTGTTCGAATTGCTTCTGGGAGTCTGGTTGTTGCGCCCTGTGATGTTCTCAGAGCTTCTTGCAACATATGCTTCCCCTCGTCCACAAACCCGCAACTGTTACAGTACATACTCAGCCCTGTCGTTTTCTTGATTTATACCTCGTTCCCGTGGCCGAAGCCTATTACTTCCTAAACCCAACCCTAAGCCTTCTCAGCTTTCGTTTCCACCTCCACTCCTGTCTCTGGCTTTATGGCTCCGCGAGTGGATGATGCTGGAGAGCTGTTGCGGGGCAGAGGGGTAGCAGGAAAGCTTAGGGTTTAGGGAGTTTCTTGTTTCGAAGCGGTCAGACCAACACGCTCACGAAGTACTCTTGTGGGTTTGGGGTGTTTTCTGCTTCCACGCCGGCATTTACGTATATACCACGGAGAAGGGCTATACCGCTTTATGGTCTAGGACGGTCTAGGGAAACGCTAGAGAGGAACGAAGTGACATGCAAGCGCTCAAACTTCAGAGATTTGATCCGAGTCCTACATAAGTCACCTGGAAGTCAACATGCAGGAGGCATATGGGAGTGGTAGGAAATAACAGACCGTATAAAGCCCGTTCAAGTGAAAAGGTTCTCAGTAACTCAGCTGAAGCTCCACCATATTGAAAGGAGCTTGCCTGCAGCACAGTATGTCTTAAACAACAACACCCCAGTCTCGTGGCTGACCAGGCCGAATCGAACATTCAGGGTTCCCCGATTCTCGAAGCCCGCAACAGCACTCCATACCCGCAAGGCGTGGTGGGCAGTTTCGAAGGGAAGGGGTCTCACCTTTCCCGTCCACTGGCGAGTCTCCGAGCCCCGGGTGTTAAGGTGGTAGAACATGATAGCGTCAGTCGGCAGGCATTTTTTGTAGGAAGTTTCCCTTGCACTCCTTGGAATGTTGTCTCCCATGGTTGTACATGCCTGCATAAGGTTCTCCTACCTCTGGTGATGCAATCAGGTGACCATGTGAGGCAGATTCGGCGTATAGGTTCGAAGAACACGCAGAATAAATTACTCGGAGCTCGGCTTAGCGGCTTGGGATTTGGGGTTCTACAAGCTTCAAGCGTCTACTCCGACCATACTTTGGTTTCAGGGTTTCGGGTCAGACGCCCAAGGATTCAGAAACATGGTTTCACATTAAGCCCTAAGCCCTACAGCGTAGAATAGCCCGAGTTGCGAAAGCATAAATCGTAGAATAGGGTCCAAGTCGATTGGGGCTCCTGCAATACTGCAGCCGTTCAATGCCGACGGCTTCTTCTAGCTGCAAGGGACAGAGCTGAGCCGACGACGGTTCCAAGATTCGGGGTTCAGCCTTTACAGCAACTCTAGGGCTTAGGGCTTTGGGTTTGAGATTTGAGGTCAGGGAAGCTTAGCTCCAACCACGAGATCATGCATGGTGCTTCTGGTGGTGATGGGGCACGAGGCACACTTTCAAGGTTTCAAGGCATAATGACCTAGGATTGCAGCGTAGAGATTTCTCAACCCGAAGTCTTCACGCCTCCCCCGAGATGTCGGCTCAGCATGTGGATTGCAGAAACTGGTGAGCCTTTGAGCACCCAATGCTGCGGCAAAATGCTTCCACTTCATCTGCCGTGTTTTGATAACCTCCTGAGGCGTCAAAGCCTGCAACTCCTAAACCCTATAAACCCTGAACCCTGAAACCCTAAACCCTGAAACCCTGAAACCTTAAAACCCTAAACCATGAAGCCCTAAACCATGAAACCCTAAACCCTGAAACCCTAAACCCCAAACTGTCCCGAGGTTCAGATTTATCTTCCGAGCTCTGAAGCCACATTTCAACAGGGTCAGGCGGCCCAACAAAGTTAGGAAATCTAAAGACTATAGACCCTAAGCACTGAACCCTAAACCTAAACACTATAAACCCTGAACCCAAATTCCTTCAGGAGGGGATGGGAAGCTCGATAAAATGAGGACGTTTCTACATGTGGTTTATACATGTTTATACCTGTGCGCTGCTGACACGTATCTCTGTCAATCTGCCACAGTACTGGACAGGGAAGACTGACATCGAGTATTCTGGGCATGGTAGTCATCACACAACAGCTACACAGTTCGGCTTTGCGCGGTAAATCTTGAGTGTCACGGCTGGCATCTAAGAGCAAAAACAGAAGACCCGAACGAGCACCCAAGCCTTTGCTGAAAGCACGGGGAAGTTGCTCCCACACAAGTTACCTTTGCACACATGCACATGCTCACACCATAGACGATATCCCTACACACATATGTGTATATATATATACACACACATCTGTGTGTGTGCATGCATGCATGCTATGCAATGTGATGTAACATAGTGTAATGTAGCGTAATGTAAATGTTAATATGGTGTAATGCAATGTAACGTAGTGTCATGTTACTTATGTCTGTCTGTCTGTCTTCCGGTCTGTCTGTCCGTCGGTCTGTCTGTACGTAAGTAAGTAAGTAAGTACGTATGCACGTATGTATGTATGTATGTATGCTTGATGTATGTATGTATGTATGTATGTACACATCTTTCACATGACAGGCGCACACACACATGTACATACATTTACATGCCGTGATGTATGTATATACATATACACAAACACACACAAATACAAATACATATACATGTACAAATACATGTACATATACATTTACATTTACAAATACATATGTATACATATGTATACATATATGTATATGCAAATGCATTTGCAGATGCATATACGTATACCTTTACATATACATATACATGTACATATACATACACATATACATACGTAAATGTATGTATATATCTATATCTATATATATATATATGCGTATGTATGCATGTTTACAAATACATGTTGAACCACAGACATACTATGTATTTGCGTATATGACAACGCATATGCATATGTATTTGTATCTGGACGTGTGTGTGTATAAATATATATATATATATGTATACATATACATCTGTCCACATATACACGCGCATAGCAAACTTTGCGTATGCGCAACGACCTTTGTGCTGAGGTCCTTTCCTGCCCGGCCTGCAATGGGCGACGACACGGACCTTGAGGCCCAAGTAATCGAGAGGCACACTTGTCTTCAGGATTGCCGATTGTCCGGGTTACAACAGGGAACCCCAGCTTGTTTGAACCCGGTTCTGGATAAGCAGTTTGCTGCCCGACCAGGAGAACGATACTGAAGGTGAGAACGTCACGGCGAACCGAAGCTTGGGTGGTGACTCAGTTGTAGGAGGTGTGGCACCTTTGGACAAGCTTGATTTCCGTAGCAAAGTGTGGTAGGGCCGGTAAGGTTTTCCGTGGCAAGGTTTGGTCTAAAGTCGCTTAAAGCACTGCTGCTGCCGCCTCTGCTTCCTGCATTCTGCATCCACCAGTGTCTGGAGACACATGCAGTAGGGGCCGGCCATTCGACCTTGTATCGTATATCCACGGCAGCATTTGCCCCGTAGTCGTCAGTTCAACATTCATAGATGCCGTTCTAAGCGAAACTCCTTTAGCTCCCTCCCACAGTCGAGTCCCTTGTGTCTCTCTTCATAGATCTTTGTCTCGCTGTTGCCTATCTCAGAATCTCACCCGTCTCTCTCTCTCTCTCTCTGTCTCTCTCTCCCTCTCTGCCTCTTCCATTTGTGTACGAGTAGGTACAGGGATGTTCACTGTACCTTCGTAAGCATGCCGACATGGTATCTTGGAGAGAGACAGAATCCAGAAGCCACAACCTGTGGTCGTAGCATTGTCATAGTCATCGTCGGATATAGTCTTCAGTCTTTCGTGAAGTATGGAAGTAATGTTCCTTCAAAGCCGTTTTACTTGGGCCCTTCATGTCAGGCTCTCAGGAAGTTGGCTCGGCTTCCAGAAGGCGCCACCAGCCCTGTAGTGGCCCTAATAATTACCTATACTATTTTAGGGGCTCCTTATTATATTTACAGTATGATGGCAACCCCAAAACCCTATTCCAATTATCAAGGCGCCTATATTACCCACCTGAACTCGTCAACCTTGCATCTGCCGGAACCAAGCCCTCAACACCCAGGGGTTTCATCTGACAGCATCCGATTTGCGAGAGCGTACACCCCAAGGGCCTCAACACAAAACCGTAGTGAAGCCCTAGAAGGGAGTTGCCGAAAATTAGGGGCACCTTATTTTGGGGTCCTTATAGAAGGATGCGACTACTTGGGGTACTAGATGAGGGCCCCCAATTTCCGGAAACTACCAGAAAGCAAGGAAGCAACCTCACCATGAATCCAGTGGAAGTGCCTTGGTGCCTGCGTAGATTGCTGTGGGCATTAGAGTCTTGTGAGCTATCCACATGATACGTGTCTTCCCGGGGTGTGCATGATGTAGCGTCTGAATGCTGTCTGCATCATGTCATGCTGGTGGGTTTGGGCATTGCTCCAATGTACAGGGCGCTTCGGATCGCATGCGGAGGCACATGCAGCGGAGCCACCGTGCTCCGGCGTTTGCTAACACGACATTCTGGCATCAGAGTGCACATAAGGACAACGATACGGAAGCAGATGAAAATGATTCTGCACATCGCTACTTGGAGCAGAAGCGTTGGCGGTGGTGTTGCGACGTGCATGGCTTGCCGTGAGCGACGCGCAAGAGTAGCAGTACGAGTCATGGGTTCACAGCCATGTTAGAATTCTAAAATGGTTTGTAGATGCGCAAACAGAAATTCGTCATGGACTTCGCAGCTGCATCAGGTATCAATGTGACTTCCGATGGCTCAGTACCTTGGTCCTTGAACATCAGCTCATCTCGTTCAGCATGTTGACCACTGCATGCATCGGCTCACATCTTGTTCTCGAAGGATGGGTCTCTGAATGTAGGCCCTGGGCCAACAAGGTTCTATGTTTCAACACCATGAGAGACCATTATGCCTGCTTTGCCCGTCTGTTGGTAGCCAACGGGCCCGACCTTACGGGTCATTGTTGCGCTCTTGTTCAAGTGAGTTGTTGGTACATCGTTTGACAGCACTGATATTCGTTAGCGTGGGTAGTGCGACCATGACTGTGGTAGTTGTTTAGCCACATCATGCCACATCAATACCAGCAGGACAGCAGCAGCGTGGCAGCAGTAGCAGTTGCACCAGCATTGCCCGAAGTGCTTGTGTCAGTGCTGGTCGTATATCAGTGTCATCACCTGCACCTATACGCGCAAACTCAAACACACGTGTGCACATGTGCCACCTGCAGCACATTCTGCGGCAGATGCATGTGCACACAAGGGTATGTGTGTGTAGGCGAAAACAGACGGACCGACATGCATGCATGCGTACATGCCGACACACATCTCTCTTTCTCGGTTCTGTTTGAACCTTGCTCAAGCAGCAGGCATGGTTGGAGCAATCGGCAGGCTGGCTTCCGCTCGTTTTAGTTTCCAACGGTCTCCGGATGTTAGGGCTCGCAGGGATTAGGGCTTCAAAGATTTGCATGGCCAAAGCTCCACGTGTCACCCGCTATGCGAGTCCCGTCCTTGCAACAAGAACCTAAGCCGTAAACCCATAAATCTCTCCAGGAGGGAACGGGAGCAACATGACGGAAGACTCTGAAAGTCGCACGTGGCAAGGGCTTGGGAAGGTGGTTTAGAGCTTCGGGCTTTAGGGCTTTTGGGGTTTGGGCCGCTGGTATGCTGATGCTGGGAGAGGCACTGCAGGCCAGATGCAACCATCGCATGTAGGAAGCTTAGGGCTTTCAAGCTTTTGTTGGCCTTGCGCTGCATTCTGCGTACCCCAACTTCCAGGGTCTAAAGCCCCGAAGTCGCCGAGGCTACAGGAGGTCGAAGGAGGCTCAAAAACAGCATATGGGAGTTTCCGAAAATTGGGGACCCTAATATAGTACCCTAAATAGTAGGAACCTTATTATACGGACCCCTAAATGAGGCACCCTTATTTTCGGAAACTCCCATACGTTTTTCTCTCCAAAGCTGGCAAGGTTTGGGGGAATCCGGAACCCCAAAAGCTTGGAGTCCCAAAACATGATTCATTTAAAGGGATCTATAAGGGTTCCTTTAAAGGGATCTATAAGGGTTCCTTTAAAGGGATCCTATAAGGGTTCCAGAAAGGGATCCTATATATAAGGGTTAGTTTAAAGGAATCAGGGTTTAGAGTTTCCGAAAGTCAGGGGTACCTTATGTGGGGGGTCCTTATAATAAGGATCCTACTAGGGGTACCAAATAGTAGGATCCCCTATTTTCGGAAAGTCCCATTTAGGGCATTTTGGAGTTCCCGTGTAGGGATCCAGGGTTTAGGGTTCCATAGTTGTCCTTATAGGGACAGGGCGGGTAGTTTCAGTTTCCAGGCTTATCATGCGCTGTTCAGCTTCAGCCCATGCGTCAATCCATAGGATAGTGGATGCTTCCTGGGTGAGCTTTGCAGGCACTGGAAGTCTGAATCCCAACGCATCCTGACTCGGTCTACAGCTGATGATCTTCCGGGTGGCGGTCCAGCGATTAGGGTTGGCTGGCGCAGATGTGCCGAGGAACCGTCTGTCAGCGTTGATCCTGCTGGTCTGGAGATCTGGCTCACGAACAAGACGCACAAGCACGTCAAGCTCCCCTTCTGCACAATCAAGTAAGAACCCTGCAGCCTAGACCTTGAAGTTAGGAGCCTTTCCTTTGACCGGCGCAAGGTGGATTTAGGCGCGCATGACCTGGTGCCCAATTGAATAATTAGGACGCGACAGTGCCAAAGAACAGGAAAGGGCCAAAGATCTGAAGACCAGTGCCTTAAAGCGATCCGGAAGAGGATGCATGTGTTTCGAGCCCCCAAAATGTTGCAAGCTCGGTGACCTCCGGGTAGCCTAGAAACTGCAAGTTTCATCGCTGGGACTAATGCCCACGCCTCCAGCCTGGAAGCCAGGAAGTTTTGAACACAGCTTGGGACGATACAATCGGTCTAGAGTTTAGGAATGATTCCAGGGAGGGTTGTACGAAAAACTGCAAGCCAGAACGCTGAAACCTTGAGGAAACTCAGGGAAGCAGTTTCCGGGCTTCGTCGCTGCAATGGCCGGCTCACATTTTCTTGCAATCCGGCGAAGCTTCCCGAAGCCCTTAGACACAGAAGCAAGGCTGCCACCCCTGCCGGTGGATCCCATGACCGGTACCTTCAGCTTTGTGGCGGAGTCAGCCGCTTTGCCCGTTTTTCCGGGCTTCCGTGTAGGGTTGGTTTGAGGGCTATCAGTAGATATTACTATTAGAAAGAACTCTAGGGTGTGTCATACTGTGATTTAGCATGTCTGCAAATCCTCGTCACCGCCGAAAGCCGTCAGTGGGGATAGGCGGAAAAAGGCCCGAGCGCTTGGAATTCCCAAGCCTCGATCGTGAAGTTCTGAAACGAGACCACCCTCGCGGAGGCCTTGAACATGAAGATATCTGAAGACGGAGACAAGAAACGGTAAGCAAAACCGGCAAGTCCTACATGAGTTGAGGGTGTAGGCAAAAGGGTGGGAGCTTGTCTATGGGGTTGATGGTTTAAGCTTTCAATACTTCTTGTATTCAGGCGATGGCGATTGCACAAGTCCTGATGCAAAGAATACTTCGTGGTGCCGGAACCTGCATGTCGCATTTTCTCGACGCCCGCCAGTGGTCTCCCAGGACACCATTTACACCATAACGTCGTTGAGCCTCAATGACACCATCTTCCGAAGCGAGCCGGCTCAGGCCGGCCCCGGAAACTTGTTCCCACATGGATTTAGGGTCTAAGGGGTTCAGGTGTTGTAGGTTTGCCAGGCTTGCTTGTCATGTGGGCCCACAGCATGGTCTAAAGATGGAGGCCGCCTGCAGTGCATGGTCATTTACTGGATTTAGGAACAAGCCCTTACATAGCCAAAGGCTCCCGCATTGCACTGCGTCCCGTGACAAACACCAAACCTTCAAAAACCCTAATCCTACCATGCATCGTACGCCGTCCTTGCATGGCGGGAGGCAAGAAAACCCCTCAACTCTTTTTCGGCTCAAGTTGGTTCTGAGACCCAGGAAGGAAGGGTCGGAAAGGTAAGGCCGCTTGGGCCCTCGGGGCCCTCGAGCGGTGCCCTGTCCCAGCGCTGAAGTCCGGGCCCGGGTCTCTGGATGGGGCGTGCGTTTGGGGTTTTAGGATACAGATACATGGATTCATAGATAGAGAGATAAAGAGATGTAGAGGTACATGTCATGAATACATATATATATATATATAGACAGATAGATAGATAGATATCATAGAGGCATAAGGATGGGGTTTGAATTCAGACGGTGCCACAGGTCCTCATGAAAAGAGGGTTTGGGCCTTTAGGGTTTCGGGTTTAGGCACAGGCTTGGTTTACTTCATTGGCTACATATCGGCTTTCAGCCAAGATATGGGCTATGATAGTCTTGTTCGGGCTTGAATCACGCGTCCTGCATTGGACTATTTGCCGTTTGATGGAGTGGGAGCCTTCATCAACTTTTCTCAGTCAAACACAGTCACTGAGGAATCCGTCGCAATGCGGTTGTCTTGCAGCTGCGGCCATGCAGATGTCATAACACAGCAGCACCTGAAGTGTGTAGGTGATATGTACAGTTGTCAAGTCCGAGACAGCTGCCGTCTAGAACCTGCGTCTTCAACCTCACATCCTATTCCTCGAGGTCTGGGAGGCATGGCGAGTGTACGAAATGATGCGCTACACAAGCGCAGCTTGGCCGAGCGTTTGCTTTCGAGGCTTCGCTTCGCACGCTTTGGAAGACATCGTTTCTTTTGCCGGTGTTACCCACTGTTGACATACCTGCGTGCGGCCGTGTTCGTGCCCCCCTCCCCCTGGTGCAGTTGCCATCAGCATTCGGCCTTGCTTCCCCTGCTGTTCGGGTGTTCGTAGCCTCGGGTAAGTCGGCTGTGAGTGCTTCCCGAATTTTGGGTCAGTGCAATCCCCCGAGCTCATCCCTAAAAGTAACCCCGAACCCTGGATAAACCCTCGCACTCCAAGCTCGCCGAGGTGTCGTGGAGGGCAGCTACAACTTCTATGATAACCACCAGGGCTGTGGGACGGCCGCGGACAAGGAGCGGGTTCTTTAGGGTTCATGTTGGTTTAGGGGTTGTGGCTCAGGGCTTAGTAAGGGTTCAGGGTAGCTGACATTAAGAATCTGGGTTCTGGACAGGGTGTGGACTTCAAAGCTTAAACCTCGGACAAAGTTAAAGATAGAAGCACTTGTTGGCATCCGCTTAGAGCCCAGACTACTGGCACTCAATCGTATCCTAACCCTAGTCTAGTTCAACCCTACAGCCCAAACCTACTGAAACTCCGAAACTCCCAAGGCCCTATGTAAACCCCTATTAAGGTTTAGGTTTCAGGATTTATAATTTGTCGAGCGAATGTGGGGATTACCGGGCGGTGGTAAAGGCCCGATGCAAAAGGGTTATAAATCCTAAATCCCTAAATCCTGAATCCCACCTAAATCACTAAACCCTAAAATCCGCAAATCCCACGTCCCTAAGCCGAGTTCAGCGCAGGCCCTGGCAGCACGACTTGGCGGCCACAGCGCCCTGGCCCAGTCTGTAAAAGAGTGACTTGGGGTTTCAACTGTTGCAACAGGGTTTGGGTTTTCGACAACAAAAGATCAAGATGGAAACCATGTGTTTACACATAAGTCTATGTGTGTATAGGAATACATATATGCGCGATAATCATATACACACACATAGGGCTGTAGGGGGCTACTGTTACGATATTTTCAGACTGGTGTATTGCCTGCCTTTGGGGTTGTTTGTTGGAGCCGTAGCCCTGAATCGTAGTGTTAGGGGTCTGAGGACAAGAGAGTTTCTCTTGGTCCAAGGTATGCTCTTGTAATGTTGTGAGCTGATGAAGTATCTCTGATTACATACCTCTGGTTTCTCAAGTGGCTCGGTCGTCCTGTGCCAGTCCTAACATGGAGCTCGTCCAGCCGAACCTATCCAGACTAAACTCATGCCAGCGCAAATACCCGGAGTTTACTACCCGCTGCCGTTGAGCCGTGCTGCAGGCTACAACATCCTCAGTGACCTGGCATTTGCTTAGTGCTGCCAGCTGGAGTGTATGTGTGGGGCACCTGCATGCGCATGCAACCATATGTTGCCCGGGTTGTGCAAGATGTGTAGTTGCCTTGCTCAGAAATCTAACTTTATTCCTGCCATCTTGCCGCTGGCTGAGGCAACAAGGCCTCTTAGCTGCACAGCCTCTGGCAGATGACACGGAAGGGCTGGCACCTTTGCAGTTCAGGGTCTTCCGCGCGAGACAATGGTGCCCCAAGCTACACACACGAGCAAGCGTCGGGCCGCGGTCTCTTCACAGCAATCGCGTCTGAGTTCCTACCATGCAACTGTTCCTACCATGCAACTGCGCCACGGTACATTATGGTGGTGACTTCGACAGTCTGGGCTCACCTTTTGTGATGTCGAGCTTGAGTGATATTGGCATTGCACAGCAGGAAGGGCCCTTAGTTGCTTGTCTCGTTGCAAACTTGCAAAGAGCATCGTTGCAACGACAGAACCATGTTCGCAAGGATCGCGATGAGATCTACTTCCGGAATCTTCGGCATGACGAGCACTACATTGACAAAAAAGGCTGCCCGAGAAATGAAAGAGCCGCGCATGGATACAATGGTTTGTCTTTGGGCCCGAGATGTCTTCCACTCCATGACTGTAGTTTGAGAACACATCCCTAAGTCAGCTGCCGACCCGAACGCATGGACCTCGTCCGGCTTGCCCGAGTTGCGAGAGTTTAAACGCGTACGTGTGTGACTGAGCTTTTCGGTTCGACTGCAGGCCGCCATACTGCGGGTTTCTTTGGAGCCCGACGCCGCAAGTTTGCGCCGGATGAACGCTGCTGGGCAAGGGGAAGTCGGGGGGATGAATGTGGGCATTTTTGCGAGATGCCGCAATAACCCTACTCCGCTGTAGAACGCCGTCACGCAGGTCTAGTACAGTCCCGGTTGCTCTTTCCGCCGTCTACTCGAAGCCTGCTCGGAACACTGATGCAGCTTGCGTGCTCTGGTTCGGGTTCAGCTTGCTGTACCTCACAGTGATGATGGTCATGATGGTGCTGAACACGGATGCTGGCCACGGCGCTGCTTCGGCTGTCGCCGAAGATAAGGATGATGGTGATCATGATGGTTTCGGTGATGATGGCGAAGATGCTGGCGTTCAGCGTTGATGGTGATGAGTGGTTACTTGTAGCACATGATACTTGGGAGTATCTAGATCGTTCTGTAAATGGTGGCAAAGAGTGGCGGGATTGTCTGGTGCACTAGACTTGGCATCAGGTTAGCAAACAGCGATAATATGCGGTTCGGCACCGACCAGTGCGATATGATGTCGCCCTCCCTATCAGTTAATCTAGCCTAGCGAGAGCGGCTTCGAATCAGGCAGCCCAGGTGTCCCCAAACGTCCCGAGAGTCCGCGTGTGGCCTCCAACCAGAGCCGCCGGAGCCGAGGTCAGCACATCAGAGATTGCATGACGCTACAGGACGGGCGTGGCGGACGCTGCACCCGACTCAAAGCCCCCACCAAAACTCCGACCTCCATAGTGCAATATAAGGGTCAGACCAACAATGAAAACAACAGGATAAGATTAATAACACTAAGCACCTTATTGAATCGTACCATAACTTACCCATACTACCATCTTATAAATCTCGAAGCCCTATTCTAATTATTACGGCCCTACATTAAACTGCTCCACTTCCGGCAACATCAGCCACGTCTTGTCAATCGACCTGGACATCCAAGCTCCTAAATTCTACTTACATTCCGATTCTAACTCGGGGGTCGCTTGAGGACTCCCATCCGCGCGAGAAGTTTCTGCCACAGCGGAGGAGACTGTTTATCGACCCGGGTTTGGTTTCTAGGGAGGTTTGAAAAGTCGCAGGACTTACGTCCCATATTGCCGATCCGAAATCCCAATCTCGACACGCAAAAGCTTTCATCTCAATCCTAAAGCCCTGAACTCGAAACCATTAGGATGCTGTGGGAGCCTGTTCGCCGACACCTTCGGCATTTTTTTCTCGAGACAGTCCCTGAGGGTCTGCAACGTAAGATACAGGATTGGCAGGCGAGACTAAGACTTTGTGTGAGAGTCCCTTGTGTTCTCATGCTTGTAGACTCCAAAACGCCTGCAAGTCAGAAGAAAATGCCCCTCTTTGCGCGAAGCTTCCTCTGCCCTAAATCCTAACCTCGAAACCCTAAACTCTGAGTCGCGCATAGAACCCTGCCTACCCCTGCCGCAAAGGTAAGCCTAGGAGTTGAAGTTTTAACACAGGGTTTCGACTACTCAGCGATGATATTCCATCGTGGTCCACAAATATTATCGTCAAATACTGTACCCCTAAACCCTAGCCTAGTTTGACTAAGATTAGGGCCACCTGTCTTCTAGTAGTAGAGTAGGTAACCTTTAACCTTTTTTGGGGTGGTATAGTGCCTATAAAATCCCTATATACCCAAAAAGGTTAACCTTTAGCTCCCCATGATAGCCGACAAGTAGGTGTCTTCTACTGGTAGGACCTGGGGTTTTGTGTGAAGCCCGGCACCTCGAGGACCGAGATCCAACTAGCGCAGATCGAGAACAGCGGGTGCGGGGCTCAAATCGGTCTAATATAGGGGCCTTAATAACTACTTATACTATTCTGGGGGTTCCTTGTTATCGTTATGGCACAATGTGCCCCCAAAACCATATTCT